TTATGTGGAAAATCTTATGGAATTTACATGAAAGCTACAAAATCGAACAAGCAGTTACAAAGCTAATACACAAAAATAATTGTATTTGTATATGGTAACTGACTAATCAGAAACCAAATTTATAAATACCATATACAATATGATCAAAGTATATGAAATACTTAGAGGAAATATAACAAAATGGGTGCAAAACTTATTCAACAAAAACTGACAGGAAAGGGGCCGGCCCGGTGGCGCACTGGATAGTGCGCCGCTTGGGAAGCGCGGCGGCGCTCCCGCCCGAGGGTTCGGATCCCACATACGGACCGGTTCCCGCTCACTGGCTGGGCGAGGCGCGGGAGCAACAACGAGGGTTGCAATCCCGTTGCCGGTCCCCGGTCCGGTAAAAAAAAAAAAAAAAAAAAAGACACACACACAAAAAAACTGACAGGAAAGAATTAAAGACACAATTAAATGAAGAGGCATTCCATGTTCATGAATCAAAAGACTCAATGTTACTTAGATATTCATTTCCTCCCCCCAAAATTTAATCTATAGATTTAATAAATCCCAGTCAAAATTCCAGCAGATTTTTTTCAGAAATTGACAAATTTATTCTAAAATTAATATGAAATGCAAAGAACCTAGGATAGCTAAAGCAACTTCAAAAACAAAACGAAATTTGAAGACTTGCATTACCTGACTTCAAGACTTATTATAAAGCTACACAGCATATAAGACACCAGTGTCAGGATAGACAAATAGATCAACATAATAGAGGTAAACACAGACACACATGACCAGTGGATTTTTGACAAACATGAAAAGACAATTCAATGGAGAAAAGATAGTCTTCAACAAACAGTGCTGTAACAATTGGGTATCCATATGCTTACCCCCCCCAAAACAAACAAACAATAAATTTTTGTCCATAACTTTCACCATATACAAAAATTAACTTCTAGAAGAAAGCATAGGTAAAAATCTTTGTGTTCTAGAATTAGGCAAAGATTTCTTAGGTATGACACGAGAAGCAAGATCCTTAAAAGAAACAATTGATTAATTGTGCTTTACTCCTGCTATTTGAAACAAAAAAACTGTTAAGAAAACAAAAAGATAAGCCATGGTCTGGGGAAATGTGTCAAATTATTTATCCAATAAAGGACTTGTATCAAGAATAAAAATTCGAGAATAAGAAACCAAATAAGTCAGTAAAAACTAGAGAAAGTATTTGAACAGATAACTCACCAAGAAAGATATACAGAGACAAAGGGGTACAGTGTGTATATTCGGGAGGTACAGTGTGTTGTTTCAATACATGCATATACGAGGTACTTCAAAAAGTTTATGGAAAGATTTGTGTTGTTTTTCAATTCTATTTTCCGACAAAAATTCTATTTTTGTACAAACTTTTTGAAGTGCTCTCATATTGTAGAATGATTCACTTAGGGTATTAGTAATTATTCACTTATTGTAGAATGGTTCACTTAGGATAGATAGCGTATTTACCACCTAGACATCTTTTCTTTGTGGTGATTACATTCAAGATTCTCTTTTCCAGTTATTTAGAAATATGCAGTATAATATTATCAGCTTTACTCAGCCTAGAACACCTGAACTTATTCTTGCTATCTACCCATAACTTGGTATCCATTAATACATCTCTTCCCCTCTCCTAGGTCCCCTTTCCCTTCCCAGTCTCTGGTACCCATTAATCTACTCTCTACTTCTATGAGAACCACTTTTTTTTGCTATTTATTTATTTATTTTAGATTCCATATATGAGTTAGATTACGCAGTATTTGTCTTTCTGTGCATGCGGGCTTACTTCATTTGACGTGATGATCTCCAGTTTCATCCATGTTGCTGCAAATGACAGGATTTCATTTTTTTAAAAATTAACTGAATAGTATTCCATTGTATATATACACCACTTTTTTTTGGTCCATTCATTGTTAAAAATTAACTGAATAGTATTCCATTGTATATATACACCACTTTTTTTTGGTCCATTCATTGTTGATGGGCATTTGCTGATGGACATTTAGGTTGATTCCATTTATTGGCTATTGTGAATAGTGCTGCAATGAACATGGGAGTGGAGTGCAGGTGTCTCTTTGACGTGTTGATTTCATTTCCTTTGGGTATGTACCCAGTAGTGGGATTGCTGGGTCATAGGTAGTTCTATTTTTAATGTTTTTAAGGAGCCTCCATCTGCTTTCCACAATGGCTGTACCAATTTATATTACCACCAACAACGTAGGAGAGTTCCCTTTCTCTGCATCCTTGCCAGCATTTGTTATTTTCTATCTTTTTGATAATAGCTATTCTAACTGGGGTTAGATGACATCTCATTTGGGTTTTAATTTGCATTTCCCTGATGGTTAGTGATGCTGAGCATTTTTTTACGTGTTTGTTGCATGTCTTTTGAGAAATGTCTGTTCAGGATTCTTGCAGTTGGGCAGTTTCTTAAAAAGTAAAACACAGACCTACTATATAACGCAGTAATTCTATTCTTAGGTCTTTATTCAAGAGAAATGAAGGCATGTCTATAGAAGGAGTTGCCCATGAATGTTCATAGCAGCGTCGTTTGTAATAGCCCCAAACTGGAAACAGCCCAAGTGTCCACCAACAGATTAATGGATAAATAAAAGATATTACATCCACACAGTGAGGGTATTTACTACTTAGCAATAAAAAATAATAAACAATTGATACATGCAACAACATGTTTGAACCTTAGAATAATTTTACTGAGTGAAAGAAGCCAGACATAAGAGAAAGCATACTGGTTTGGGCTGGGAGGAGGCAGAGCAGGGGACTCGCTGCCCTTCAGTGAGCACAGCCCATGGCGGGGTCCTGGTGCCAGGAGAGGCCCAGCCATGAGGGCTGTTTCAAGAGGCAGCGCAAGAGCAGGGCGTTGGGACCTGGGACCCCGGAGGGTGGGGTGGGGTGTGAAGTTGGGGTCTCCAGTCAGGGCCGTCCTCTAACAGTTCCTGTAGCTCTGCTGCCTTCCCTCTCACAGAGGGAGGGTGTTCTTGGGTAATTATGGTGTGTTTCCAGAGACCCCAGGGCAGCCACCTTCTCCCCCGCGCACTAAGGCCAGCCCTCCGCCCGGGCTGCTGACAGCAATGGCCCTCCAGCTACTGCAGCAGCACGAATTCTCCTGGAAGAGCTACGCGGGCGGTGGAAACCTTCAGAGCCCAGCGCGGGAGATCTTAAGGCTTCTCCCAGCTGGTCCCGATTCTCAGCATGACCTAACCTCGCCAGCCAGCTTGGGAAACTCCTGAAGTGTGCTGCCCCACTTCTCTTGAACGTTTACACCAAAGGAATGGGGTTTTGCCCTCCACAGGGTTGGAACACAAAATAATTCAGAGCCGTCACGACCCGGGAATAGAGTGGCCTGTGGCTGATGCTTCACGAATAAATGTTTACATTTTAAAATCTGATCCTTAATTTTTACCCAAACTTTTGGGTAAAAGAGAAATGGCTGCCTCTTAGAGGGAAAAAACGAACTAATGCCAATGTAATCTTTGTAGGACTACAAAATCGTTCCCGTTTAAGGACTTTTCCCCCACACACTAAACAAAATGGGGGGTGGGTATTCGGCATGCCACTGGTGCTTTATTACTAGGGAACCTCTATTTTGAAATTTCAAGTAATGGAAAAACCCCTGCCGATCCTGGGTGCCACCAAAATAGAAACTGCAGTTTTCAACTACTTCCTATAGGTGGTGTTTAGGGGGCGGGGGAGACCTTTGAAAGAACAAATTCTCAAGTTAAAAAAAAAAAAAAAAGATACACACTGTGATTCCAATACATAAAATTCTTGAAAATGCAAACTAATTTATAGGGACAAAAAGTAGATCAGTTGTCTTCTGGGGACTGGTGAGCAGGGTGAGGCATGAGGGAACACAAGAGGACATTAGAAAAATTTTAGATGTAATATGTCAGTTATACATCCACAGAAAGCAGTAAAAATTGCAGTTTACAGGTATGCTGAATGAGGCTGATTTCTCTATTGCTACCTGCCCACCTAGACTAATGGGGGTGTGTTTGGGGACAACTTATTGCAGCATGGTGGCTTCTTTGGAGAGAAATAGGGACCTGGTGGCAGAGAAAAGTTTAAGCAGAACTATGCATTGAGTACCTGCTATGTGTCTGACCCTATGTTAAGCAGTTTAAATGAATTATCCCTTTTAATTCTCTTAAAAACCCTTTGAGGTAAGTACCATTATCCTTGTTTTACACATAAGGAAATACAGCCACAGAGAGATTAAGCAATTTGCTCTAGAATTGTTGCTCTCTGACCAAAGAGACAGCACTGATGATGCCAGAAGATTCACTGCCTGCCACCAGCCTCGACCCTGTGCTGGGTCTGGGAACTCTATCTCTGCCCAGAATCTCTAAGATGGGTGGGTTGAGGGGGTGCGGAATCGCCCCCAAAGGGCTTACGTGTTCTTGCTCAGTCTGGAGCCAAATGTGGTAGCCAGGGACCCGGGGCCACTGGGATTCTTGCACTTTGGGTGACCAACCACCCCGCTTGGCCTGGGACAGAAAAGGTTCTTGGAATGCCAGACTTTCATTTTAAAACCAAGACTAGTCAGTCATCCTAACTCTTGCTCGATGGAAGCCTTGGATTCCAGGACTCTAGTTCTAGGCTCCTTGGTCCTTCAGGACATGCCCAGAATATTTTCTATGACTTTAGGCCAGACTGGTGAGATGACTTCATGGGCAAGTAAAAGAACAAGGGGAGGCAATGTTTTTTTTTTTTTTTTTTTTTTTTTTTTTTTTTTTATTGCTCTTTTATTCCTGTGCTATCTAAATGTCAGGATCACTAGGAAAGATGATTCTAGCCTCTGCGAGCTTCCATTTCCAGTCAGGGGCCTCCCTAGGGTAAGGGGCTATGAAGGGAAATAGGGGCCTCTGGTTGGGTGGAAATGGCGGCCAATGAGAAGACAGCTTTTGTAAACATAGGTCTAGCCTGACCCTCAGTAGTCCCTCACCCTACAAAGTGGTGGTCTAGTTGTTTGGCTTCTTCTGCCCCCATATGCCAAGCCAGGACTTATTTTGTGGACTTTGGGGCTGCTGCTGGGTTTGAGAGCCCTTGTCTTGAGTTTGGAGTGGCTTTGGCTTAGGCTCAGGCTCAGGCTCCTTATTAAGGCAAGTGTACTCAGGCTTGGCTACCAAACAGCAGCACCGTTCCTGAATGCAACATGGGGCTTTTGTTGTGCAGCATGGGTTGCATTTTGGTGGGTTGTGTGGATTGCATTTTGGTGGGTTGCATGGATCACATTTTGGTGGGCCGCATGGGTTGCATTTTGGTTGGTCACACATCTTCCAGAGATTCGGAGTTCCTGAAAAAAAGAGAAGAATGTTCTCATCAGAAGGAAAGCTGGATTCTTGCTTTCATTTCCTCATTCCTTGATCCCCAAACACATCCATCTTCAGGGTGATGACTCAGGGCTGATGACAGCTCAGGAAAAGCAGGGCTGGACCCCTCAGAGGGCACAGCCAGCCCATAACTCTGTACCTTCCCATGTGTCAGTATGTTCCTAACTAGGCAACCATTTTCCTGGTAAGGAATTGAAGACCAGCATATGCAAGAAATTTGCCTAAGGTCTCCTAGTTAATGAGGAACAGCATGACCCTCAGTTGCCTGTTTCTGAGTCAAGTGTCAAGCACTTCACAAACATCTTATATGATGATTGCTACCAGCCTGAGAGGTAGGCATTTTTACCCCGCTTCACATATGAAGGCAACTGAAATTCAGAGATCTACCTCAGTTGCTTATAAGTGGATTCAGGCCAGGTTCTTTCCCACCCCAGTGCATGTACTTGTTCTGGTCTCAAATGTGGCACCCAGAGACCCGGGTGCAATGAGATTCTTGCACTTAGGGGGACCACTGGTCACACCCTTCCTGAATACACCACCTCACTGCATGCACCTCAGCACACAAGAGGCCACCTGCTGCTGGGATGGCTACAGCAAGATGAAATGGAAAGTACATTGCTCTTGGCATTGCAGGACCTGAGTTCCAGGCCTGGTTCTACAACTCCAGAGCCACAGGGCAGCTCCCTTCACCTCTCTGGGGTTTTATCTCTCCCTCTTATAAAGGGGCAGTGGAAGGGGCTGGGGGGGGGTGGAAACTGGACTTTGTAGGTCCTCAGACTTAACAATTCAGCACTTTTGCAGTTTTCTGATTCTTCTGGGAGGGGGAAAAACCAAAACACCTCTTTCTTTGCTTCTATCACTCTGCTCTCCACCCACCCAGGAAATCTGAATTCTCCCAGGAAGGTCCCTAGGCCTAGGCCCCAATGTGCCCCTGGGGCAGCTCCTACATGCTTTCTACCCTGTCCCTCCTAAAACCATAAAGCCACTGTCATGGCCCCAGAGTGGAACAGAGGGTCGAGAAGTGGTTAGGAGTCAGAGGGAAGAGACCAGGTGTGTTATCCAGCCTTAGGGAAGATCTGAAAGGAGGGGAAATGAGCATGTGCCCCCACTGTGGACTCAGCCCCAAAGCCACCCACCCATGTGGCGGAGGTGCTGCCTGTCAGGGCCCTGTCACCTGGGTGGAGGAGGAAGGGTTTGGGAGTTGGACTGACAACTGCTGAAATGAGGCTGCAGCCATCCTCCAGCCTCTGGTACCTGCAGGATTTTTGAGAAAAGCCTCTGGCGTAAACTAGGTTTTAAAACTGAATCAGTTATTTCTGTGCGCTCTCCTCTAAGCACACACATGCTTGCATATCTATGTGTGTGCATGCACATGCTTGCCAGCATGTACGCATGTGTCCATGCATAAGCATAGGGACAAGGAAGGAAGAGGCTTGTGACAGTGGCTGTTTTTTAAAAACAGATTCTTTGTACCTGTTCATTAGCCTCAAGATTGGAGCCTGTGTGGTAGCTCCCACATGGCACTGGCTTCTGCTCTGGCCTTGGCCCTCCCACCCACGGGCCCTCGCTGGCCCTCCATTTCATCCCTGCCCTGCCAGCAGGCCGCCTCCTGACAGCCCTGCTCCAAACCCTCTCTACCTGGTGCTTAGAAATCCGTATCTCTTGTCACCTTGTGTTGCTCTTTTCTGTGTCCTGCAGATAGGGGACTCCTTGAGGCAGGAACTACAAATCCCCTCTCACATCAAAGGCTTCCTGAGGGTTACCCCGGAGGACAGAAAGCCCTATCATCCTCCCCTGAAGGTGTGCAGGGTTGTCAAATTAGGTGGTTCCTAAAGGACCCGTCAGATGACCTACTTTGCTATCTGAGTCACCCTTGTGAACTTATAGTAGATCCAGGACCTTGGCTGTCCAGGGTGATTGGTGTCAGGCTCTTAGACTCATGCCTTTTTCATCCAGGGATTCAACTAAATCCAGTTCATGTGGTATACACTGGGCCTCAATGAGTCAGGTGTGGCCGACACCTCCACCCACTGGAAACAGCCACTTTCAAACTGACAAGTTGTGGCCCAGCCCCAGCCCAGCCTCTCTCCACTTCAACTTTCTGAATGGCCAGAGCTTCATCCCAGGTTTCTCTGTGGGAGGAGCCCCGGGCATGTGCCCAAGGAGGCTGCACTGTGCCCCTTGGGCTGTCTGAGGGACAGGCTGGTGGTAACTCTGCTATGGCTCCCTGTGCTCCAAATCTCCAGAACTAGAGCACCAGAAGGGAAAGAAATTTAGGAAGGAAGGGTCATCTCATAAGGCCCTGCCACTGCGTCTAAATCCTTCATACACCCAAGTCTCTGGCCATATGACTGTGGCCAGAACTGGGCCAGGGCAGTTCCCACCTGAAAGGGGAAAGTGACCTCTTGGGGTGGGGTGCTGGCTTTAATTCTCTCATGACTGTATGCCTGCCAGTTATTCCAGGATTCATTCTGCCTTTCAGAAAGAGGCTTCTGCTTGTTTTAAGAGGAAGACACTGAAGCAGGACTCTCAGGGACTGGGGGCAGGGACACGTCACTCGGTCCTTCCCTCGGGTCAAGAGATGCTGCAAAGAGGTTGAGGTGGCAGAGATGTGCCCTGCCATGCCATTACTTGCCTGGGAGGGAACAGGAGGCAGAGAGGCCAAGTGATGGGAGGCACACAGAAAATGGGAATGGAACAGAGACGCAGCAGCATGCAGCTGGGGAAGGAGGGAGAGTGAAGGGCCACGAGCGCCTTGCCCTTTGCCACCCTCACAGTGTTCAAAGCTGTTGGACAGGAGAGGGGTGTGTGTGAGAGAGAGAAAGTGTGAGCGAATGTGAGGTGAATGCGTGTGTGCGTATGTCTGAGAGGGCTGTGAGTGTGTGTATGACTGTGTGTGAGTGTGTATGTGTGTGGATGCATGTAGATGTCTGAGAGTCTGTGTGTATGTGTGTGAGTGTGAATGTCTGCGCGTGCTGTGCGTGTGAGTGTGGGTGTGAATGTGAGGTGCGTGTGACTATGTGAGCATATGAGTGTGTGTGTTTGTGAGTATATGTGTGTGCTATATGTGTGCGTATATGTGTGTGTGTGAGTACATGTGTGAGTGTGTGCATTTGTGCAGGGAGTTTGGGCGTGTGGGTGTGTGTGGGGAGCCTGGCATCTGTCTCCTTGTTTGAACTCCTCCCTTTGGGGCCTGACTGAGACCAGGGGCTGACAGGGGAAAGGGAGGAGTGAGTCCCTTCTGCTTTCATTTTCTGAAGTTTAGTTTTTGACTGCGATTGTTTTTGCCTCTTTTACTACTTCTCTCTGCCTCTCTATCACTCTCTGGTCTCTCCTCTGTCTCTGTCATTCCCTCTTCCTCCGTGTCTATGGTTGACAGTTCAGAGTCCCCTTGGAAATCCAGCTTGTTTGGATCCATCCCTCCAAGTGCAGACTGGGTTGTTTCTCCAAAGCAATTCTCACTCTAGCAACCAGAGCATGCAGAAGCATCACAGGGCACCTGGAGCTCCCATTCAGGGCTCACCTTACTGTTCCCCTAGACATCCCCTCCAAGAATCTCCCCTAGTCAGATCCTGGGAATAGGTCCCGAATGCAGAGTTTGTGCTGTGTCAAAGATAGAATGCGGGTTAGGAATCAGTCCTTGTCCACAGTGGCACAGGGAGGGCAGTGCCAAGTCCCTCTACAGCCTCACCACCCTGGACGCAGGTCCCGTCGCTCTGAGCCAGCACTGTCTCTGTTGTCTCCCTGCTGCTTGGTGAACGGTGTCTGTGCCCCTTCTAATCAGGAGGCGTCCCTAGTCACTTGCCTCCTGACAGGTGCTCCTGCTCTAATCCAGGAATAGTTAACCCTCCGTGAACCCTACCACGTTCAGAATCTTGGCTCCTGTCTGACAAACCCACCTCCTGGACCACCCTGCGTCCTGCAAGACAGTTTCTTCTCCTTAGGAAAAGATTCTCCCCAAGCTCCATGCCCACTCCTAACTAACCCAAGCTCCACGCAGCGTGCCCCAAGAACCCTGCCAGACCATGCCATGACACCAGTGGCAGAGCCAGGCCATCGTCTCATGTCTCCTTACTACTACTGCTCTTTTTCAGGAAAGATCAAGATAGAGCCAGACCCAAGTCCACTAAGGCTCTGGCAAGCCTGCCCTCGCTTTGAGCTCTTCAAGCCAGCACTGCCTTACCCCTGCCCTGTTCTCTCACACTCAGCAGACTGGCTTGGAGCAGAACCCTGCTGACTTCTGCTCTCCTCTTCCTGGATCTTTGAACGTGCTCTTTCCAGGCCTAAAATATCCTTCCCTGGTCTCCGTACACACACCCTTACTTAATATTCAAGCCTGAAGTTTCCTGCTTAAACATCACTCCCTTGGGGAAAATTTTCTTAACCCATAAGCCTCAGTCCCTTGAAATGCTTTCTTGGAGCTCTCTGTACTTCTCATTGCATTTCTATAATGGCTATTATCTCTCTAATGTCTGACTTCTCTAGTCTGTTAGTTTCGTGAGCATGGGCATCCTCGCTATCTTGCTTGCCACATCGAACATGCTGCATATCATTATATGGCCTCAGTAAGTAAATAAGTAGTGAACAAGTGGACGATCACACAAGCCATGGAGAGATGACCCAAGAGACAAGGTTCCTCGGTGTTACCTGGTCTGGCCACGCTCTTCTCTTCAGTCTCTTAATTCACAAACTCCATGCTTGACTTCTCGCACAAACCATCATCCCTTGGCTGGTTCCCGCAGATATAGTCGATCCTCCTCAGCAGCCTAGTGAGTCCATGATTATCAGAAGCCGAAGTCTTCTGACTCAAATGGCTTCCCTTCCCTCCTAGTGCCAAGATTCTGAGCTTCTAAGCCTCTGTGACATCATAATTCTCTCTCCAAGACTCTGTGAAGATGACTAGCTGACTGACTGGTGCTCCCTGCTGCTTGCAGAGACCAAGTCCTCTTGGTTTCTTTTTCCCTAAAAGACAGAGAAAGCTCTTTAGCTAACACATAGACAGGCATTCAATCCCTAAAACACAAGCCTAAAGCACAAATCCGTAGTGAGTGTTACTGTCTACCAGGATCTGGTCTGAGCAGTGCAAACTCAATAAGGTGTAGTTTACATTCTCAGAGACCTAATTCAATATAGAGGCAAGTCAGAAAACAGTTTCAATACTGTGTGATAAGAATGACAATAGAAGCAGCAGGCAGTGCCATGGGAGCACATGGGGACAGGTTTGTGGGTCAGAATTGCTTCCTGGATGGAATGATGTTTAAGCTGAGACTTGGCAATTGGAGATAGAAAGTGGGACATGTGAGCATTTTTTAGACCCAGAATGGAAGAGCATGGACTACTTGGAGGAAAAGCTCAGAGTATCTGGAGCAGAGTGGGGAGCAGGGAGAAGAGGTAGATTCAGATACAGAAGTTAATAGAGGTTGTATTGGTGAGGACCTTGTATGCCATAAGGAAGAGTTTGTACTTTATCCTGAGGACAATGGGAACCATTGAAAGGTTTTAAACAGGGCAGAAACTAGGATGCCTTTAGGGGCAGGGACCCTGTTTCATTCACTTTGATATTCCCAGTGTCTAGCTCAGCACTTGGCACATAGAAGATTCTGAAACTGAATCAATTTAATCACCTAAAATAGTGGGAAGAGAGAAGCATCTGCTCTTTCCCTTCCCTCCTCCAACATGGCTTCTTTGAAGAGAGTGACTAGGAACTTCTCTTCTAGAAATCAGGTCTGCCATGAACTCTTGCAGGACACCAAGCAAAAGCACAAATAGAGGCTTCCAACCTCTGTGGCCCACTCCTTGTTCTCACTCCCAGCTCCATCCTGCACCATGAGGGACCTCAGGTGTGCATGAATGTAGACACCCTAGCCGTTCCATCCAAGTTATATTCATACCTGACCCCTCCCACTGTCCATTCATTGGCCTTTGAGACTTAGAGGTGAACACAGTGTTGGCTGAGTGAGTCCTCAAGAGGATGGGCACATAGAGGTGATCCCAGGGACAGGGATTTCTGGAGTCCTGGATAGCTGGAGTGAGGGAGACAATAGCTCTGGTCAGGCTAAGGTCTTTTGAGTACTCCTTGACTTCTGTCTTTCCAACATGTCTCACACTCAGTCTATCAGCAAATTCTGTTAACTTCAAAATGAATTCACCTCTACCACAACCAACCCATCCTGAGACATGATTACCTCTTTCTAACTTCTCTAATAAGCTTCGGACTGGTGTCTCTGCTTCTATTTGGTCAGCTCTAGTCTATTTGCAGCACAGCAGCCAGAATGGACCTTAAACCGTAAGTCAGATCATGTAATTCCTCTGCTCAAAAACCTGAAGTGGCCGTCCACTCATGCTGAGTAAACCCAAGTCCTTACAATGGCCTACAGGTCACCACATGACTGACACCCCCACCTCTGACCTCATCTCCAGCTCCTCTCCCCATCACTGGCTCTGCTGTGGTCACACTCATCTCCTTGCTGTTCCTTCAACACACCAGGTGTGTGCACACACACACATGTGCACGCATGCACACATAAATATACATGCATACCACTTACGGCTCTTTGTTTATACTGCTTGTTTTCTCTGTCTTCCCCAAAGTATCTTCACGACCAGCTCCCTCACCTATTTCAAGTCTTTACTTAAATAACACTTTCTCAATGAGGTATACCCAGATCTTCCTAATTAAAATGACAACCTTCCACTCTGCCCTTCACTCCAATCCCCTTTACACAGTCCTATTTTGTTTTTCTTTCGTAGTGCTTTTCATGTGTAACGTAATACACATACAATTATTTGTTGTGGTTTTGTGTATTGTCTTTCATCTCTCATTAAAATGTCATCTCCACAAAGACAAAGATTTGTTGTGGTGGTTGTTGTTCTTTACTGACATATCTCACTCTCTTAGAATAGTTCCTGACACACAATAATATTAGTTGAATGCATGGTGATTGCTAGTTAGTCTTTTTTCATAGTTTTAAAAAATTTTTTAAATTTAACTTCTCAGGGCCAGCCCAGTGGCGCACTGCTACAGTGCGCCACTTGGGAGCATGGCGGCACTCCCGCCGAGGGTTCGGATCCCACATACAGACCGGTTCCTGCTCACTGGCTGAGCGAGGTGCGGGCGCAACACCGAGGGTTGCGATCCCGTTGCCGGTCCCGGTCCGGTACGGGCGCGACACTGAGGGTTGCGATCCGTTGCCGGACACGAAAAAAGACAAAAAAAAAAAAAAAAAAATTAACTTCTCAATATACACTGTAGTCGATTTTCATGACCCTTTACCCATTCCTGTACTCCCTCCCCCACTCCCCTACCCCTCTACATCATATCTGTTCACTTGTCTTAAAAAGTTCAAGGAATTGTTGTGATTATTGTATCTTCTTCCCCCACATGTTTGTTTGTGTTTATTAATTTATTTATTTTTAGCTCCCACAAATAAGTGAGAGCGTGTGGTATTTCTCTTTCTGTGCCTGACTTGTTTCACTTAATAAAATTTTCTCTAAGTCCATCCATACTGTTGCAAATGGTAGTATTTCATTCTTCTTTATAGCAGAGTAGTATTCCATTGTGTAGATACACCACAGTTCCCTTATCCACTCATCTGATGATGGTCATTTGGGCTGGTTCCAACTCTTGGCTATTGTAAATAGTGCTGCAATAAACATGGGAGTACAGCTATCCCTTCAGCATGATGATTTCCATTCCTCTGGGTATATTCCCAGCAGTGGAATAGCTGGGTCATATGGTAGATCTATACATAATTGTTTGAGGAAACTCCACATCATTTTCCATAAAGGCTGCACCATTTTGCAGTCCCACCAACAGTGTGTGAGAGTTCCTTTTTCTCTGCAAACTCGTCAGCACTTATCATTCTCAGTCTTTTTGATATTAGCCATCCTGACTGGAGTGAGATGGTATCTCAAAGTAGTCTTGATTTCCATTTCCCGGATGCTGAGTGATGTTGAGCATTTTTTCATGTGTCTGTTGGCCATTCGTATATCTTCCTTTGAGAAATGCCTATTCAGCTCCTTTGCCTATTTTTTAATTGTGTTATTTCTTTTTTTGCTGTAAAGTTGTTTGAGTTCCTTGTATATTCTGTATATTAATCCTTTGTCTGATATGTATTTTGCAAATATTTACTCCCACTCTGTTGGTTGTCTTTTCACTCTGTTGATTGTTTCTTTTGCTGTACAGAAGCTTTTTAGTTTGATATAATCCCATTTGTTTATTTTACCTTTAGTTGCCTGTGCTTTTTGGTCCTATTCATGGAGTCTTTACCCAGTCCTACTTCCTGAGGGTTTCTCCTGTTTTCTTTAAGGAATTTTATTGTTTCAAGATGCATATTTAATTCTTTAATCCATTTTGAGTTGATTTTGGTATTTGGTGAGAGGTATGGGTCTAGTTTCATTCTCCAGTTTTCCCGGCAC